CTAAGCTCCCTTGCCGCTTTCCAAGTCCAAGAAGACCACTTCCCTGTTGGTGGAGCCCAGGACATGAGGGCCTAAGAGACAGAATCTTACTTTTTTATTTTGCTGTTTTCCCTTTTCACATTATTTGCCCCCCACACTTATTTTTCTGTACGTGTGCATCTGTACATGTGTGTGCCTCGGTCCCGACCATGAGTGTATAGAGGTCAGAAAACAACTGAGGAAGTAGGTTCTCTCCTTCCACTCAGGCCGCCATCTACCCCACAAGACGGCATTTACTTATTTATTTACTTAATTTATTTATTGCGTGTGAGCAGGAGCTCATGTGCTTTGGCACACATGTGGAAGTCAGAAGACAACTGGGGGGGGGGTGTTGGTTCTCTTCCTTCCATTATGTGGGTCCCAGGAATTGACCTCAGGTCATCTTTGGTGGTAAGTTTCCATATCTGCTGAGCGATCTCACCAGCCAAAGATTTATCTTTTTTAAAAAAATTTGTTTAGATTTACTTTTATTATTTTACATGTATGTGTATGAGTGTTTCACCATACTGTATGTGTGTGCGCTACACTCACGCTGGTGCTCGAGGAGGTGCTGAGCCTCCCTGGGGGTGCTGGAAACCCAACCCAGTTCTTTGCAACAAAAACATGTGCTCTTAATCACTGAGCAACTCTCCAGCCCCCCAAAGATTTATGTTAAAAAGAAGAAAAAAATTGTGTGTGTGTGTGTGTGAAAGTGTGTGAGACAGAGAGTGTGAGTGTTTAAGCGTGCGTGTGTACTGGTACCTACAGAAACCAAAAAGGAGAGTGGTGGATCCCCAGAGTTAGAGTTTTAGGTGCTTGTGAGCCACCCACTGTAAACACAAGGACCTGGCTCCAGACTACTGCCAGAGCAGAAAGTGCTCTTACCAAACCCCCAAGATTCATTCTTTTTTAATTTTTTAAATTTTATGTGTGAATGTTTTGCCTACATGTATGTCTGTGCACCATAAACAGAGTGCACACAAAGGCCAAAAGAGAGCATCGGATCCCCTAGAACTGGAGTTACAGACAGTTGTGACCTGCCACGTGCCAAGAACTGAACCTGGGTCCTCTGGAAGAGCAAGTGCTCTTAACCACTGAGCCATCTTTCCAGCCCCGATTTGGTCTTTTTAAAGACAAAAAGTTTGAAAGCCTGAGGCAGGAGGATCGCTTTTGGGCTAAGGCCAGCTTGAATACACAGTGAAAATCTGTGTCTTGCAGACAGACAGGCAGACACAGACACACATACACACACCATGGGGGAGGGCACTATCTATTTTTGCTGTCACCAGTTGAAAAGTAGCTCAAGGCTTGTCTGAGCTGTGGGTAGCCAACAGGCTGCACCTCAGCCAGAGCACCCTCTGGTTATACTTGCCAGAGCTCTGAGCATATCTCCCGGCATAAGGAAGCCGGTGCAGGGACCCGAAGAATGTCCAGCCCCTCATTCAGCTCCTTCGGCTCAAAACCAGATCTAGCTGCCAAATCCTATAGAAACAGACTTGGTTGCCATAGCAAAGCTGCAGACACTTTCCCTGGCTTTTCCCTTGACGTCCCCTTAGCACATCTTTTCCATCCCAAATAGGCAGGGCCGGACAGCCAGGGCCCCCAGAGTGTCTTTGCTTGCCTCAGATTTGAAGATCTCACAGAATCTCTAAACCCCTGGGCAGAAGCCTGTTCTGACTCCTTCCCTCCCAGCACCCAGCCTGACTTCTACCTCCAGTTTTCCTGCTGTCTACACCCACAGCTCCAACTCTGCCTGGGTCCCTTAGCTGGCTTCTCCTTCCCAGAATTCTGCCTCTTTCTTATACCCTGTATCCAGCCTCCACATCTTCCCTGCCCGGACTGAACCTCTTCAGAGCTCAGGGAGTGAACGTCAACACCTGTCCTGCCAGTGGCACTCGCCTGACCTCACTGTCCTCCCTTCCTAACTCCATGGTATAGGACTCAGGATCTGTCTAGACAGGCAGGGGCTTCCCAGAGGAGGAGACTAGTCAGATCCAGAGCAGACATAGCTCCTGAGGTGTGTTGCATCCCATCTGAGTGCCCCGCTATCACAAACAATCCAACTGGTGGCAAACTTGTGGTAACAGGTCCAGGTATCTGCTTCTCCACGTGGCTTTGATTCCCTGGTGTATTCTTCCCACCCACAGACGCCGGGGTCCAGTCACTAAAGTCCCAGGCCAGTAAGAACGTAGAGCGCAGAGACCTGCCCAGCCCCGCCCCACACTCTATACCCGCTTCTGGCACTCACAGCAGCTCCACCCCTCAATCCTGGGTTTCAAGGTTGCTCCCCTGTACCCTCCCACCATACGATGGATGTCCCCTGTGGATCTCTTGTACGGCCCTATTTCTTGGTTTCTACCCTGTGACCTTCTTCTACCTGGGACTTTCAAACATCAAGTCCTACATTATCAGCTCATTCCTAGTGGTCTGCTTCCCTTCAGCCATATGACTCTTCCCTAGGACTAGTGTTCTGGGGTCACTGGGGCTATCTATTGAAGGATGGGGGGGTTGGCAGGTTCCTCTCCAAGGGTTTCTCAAGAACAAGCCAATCAGAGAGCTAATAAAGTGCTAGGTGCCCACATGCTGGTAAGACCAGACCTACAGGAACCCTGGTCCACAGTAAGATACAACCAGCTGGTAAGTTTTAAAGGTGGGCACAGGCTGGCACTATACACACACAGTACCTGTGACAGAGTGATTCTGACCATGGGCCCCAGACTCAGGCAGACCTGGGTTCAAATTCTACTTTACCATTCAAGAGGGGAGTGACTGGGTAAGTTGCTTGACTTTGATGGAGACTGGATTTGTCACTCTAACACACTGTAACGGATCCAAGTCTGAAAGGAGCTGTCAGGGGTAACACATAACTAAAAGCTACAGATACACCAACGGCAGCAGCTCTGAGAGACTGGAGTGGAGGCTGAGAAAGGTCAAAAGGCCGGCCCACAGGCAAGCCAGGGTGGGGACACAAAAAGGCTGACCCAAGCTTTGTCCCTTCTGCTCCCACCATTACTAACCAGGCGCCCAGGGCAGCCTCGGCTAGTCCCTTGCTGAGCTGAGCCAAGCGGCCATCAGAGACTGAGCTGCCTATACCCTCTGGCCATCTCAGGTCCTCCATCAGCTGTAGCTTCTTCCTGTTTCCCACACCAGGCATTGCTTCATCCAAGCCTCATACCCACTGGGTGCTAGAGAACTGTTTAGTCTGACCCCTGAAGAGCCAGAAGCTGGGGGGCAAGGGTAGAGAGTTCCATTTATTTCTAGTCCGTCAGCCACTGATCAGAACTAAAGACTCAGATTTGTGATTCATTCCCAGCAAGACTCTGATACAACCGCTACAAGAAGTTACAGGAAAGAACTTCTCCGATTTGGACATCTCTCTTGACCACTCCTTCCTGGTCTGTGGTCACCTTAGTCAGGCTGCATATACAGGTTCTCACTTCCTGAAGCGACAGCGGTAAATAAATGCAGGAACCTCAGGGTACAGAGATTGGAGTTTCCACAGAGAATCATGACCATGGAGCGTCTTCTAGAGTGTCTTTATGACTGAGGCACTGCGGGCCACACAGACGTCCAAGAAAGGTATCTTGGGCATAGAGAAGCCCAAAGAAGACTGAAGAACAAGGCTGAATGGTTACTGAATCAAGGCCAGCAGTGAACGAAGGAATGAACCCGTGTGTGCACGGGGAGGAGCTTCAGGGGAGATGAGATTGAAGTGCAGATATCTCTAGACTTCAGCCTCATCTGATCATCTTGGCCTGCCTCAAAAAAATGTAGGCTGGGCCAACTGGCCAGGTGAAGGTTAGAAGGCAATGATTCAAGCCTCCTCACCTTTTCCTGCATCTCACCTGAATCATAAAGTTCATCATTACGCATACCAGAAGGCTCTCAGACTTTGCCCGGCTCTGTCTCCTACCTCACCTATCCCTTCCTAGTGTTTGCTAGCTTGCTCCAAGCCCTTTCTCATAGGGCCTTTATCCCTCGGGCTCCCTCTGCCTGTAAGGCACTTTCGGGAATGTCTCAGGACTGACTGCTTCTCCACTGGGTCTTTGGCTAACTCTAGCGCTCAACACTCACTTTAACTGTGTTCAGTTTTGTTGTTGGTTCCCCCCCCCCCCGGTAATATTTACCACAGTTGCTCATGATTTTTAACTCTGTCAGTCACTCGCTCCTTTTAGAATAACAGTTGTGGAAGGTGAGTCGCCACAGGAGACATTTATCAAAGTCTTGGGACATTTTTGTTGTCCCAAAGGGCTGTGGGGTATTACTACCGTCCAGGGAACAAATCCAGAAATGCTGCTACAATGCACAGGATTCCTAGAGGCAGAATGGTCTGTCTCGAAACCGAGTACCAGATGAGCTTATCAGTTTGGAATCCTGTTCCCTGACGACTCTCCAGAGCCTAGGATACTTTCTGGCACACAGGCAGCGCTCTACAAATGTAGGAGAGCAAAAGGAACTAGAGAGAGAGAGTGAAGAAAAGGACTGACAGACGAGTCTACGGAGAGTCAAGCAGACTTACGGACGCTGAGACCCCAGCAGTTTCAGTCCCGCCCCCCAGGCTAGGCCCACGACCGCTCGTGACGCTCCCATGCCAGCCCGCGCCCTGCCACACTGAAGGGGAGAACGAGCCCCAGGTCCAGTGCGCCGCGCGCACACTCACCCGCCCGCGGCTGCCTGGGAGCAGCGGCTACACCCTCCGGCATCATCTTGCCCCCTCGGCCCGCGGCCCGGAAAGGTACGGGATACAGGAGCCGGAAGGGCCGGTGCGCTGTGCACGTCGGAATTTGTAGTTCACGGATTCCTGGAACTCCGGGGGCTGCTTCACACTTGGAGTTTCCTAAACTACGACTTCCGGCGACCTCGGCACTGCAGGACCGGATTGGTGGCTTCAGAATCACTCTATGTTGCAGATCGGAATTTGATTGGCTAAATGCACTTGCCGCTCATGTTCTCAATGACTCTACAAAGGGGAGGATCTTCGAGCGACCCAAGATACCGCCTCCAAAAGAAAGTCTACGGTATGATTGGTGGAAACTGCATGATCGCTGGAGGAGCATATCACAGCGAAGGAAGGTGGGCACTTCCTCACAGACTGCCCAATCACATAAGGAGCAGTTCTATAAACGCTTGCGCTTCGGCGGCGGGCGTTCTTTTGGGAGTGAAAACTCTAGGGTGTCTTTTGGATTTGTGGAACACGTTTTGCCGTTAGTAGTCGCGAAGTGGAACTCGAAGGGCCGCTTAACTGCAGGCCAGCCTTCCTCGAGTGCTGCGGTGGTCTGGGCTCTGCTTTAGTTCCTTTTCCCCCCTCAATCTTCTCCCTTTTTGCAGGTAAGACCGAGTCGGGCCTGGCTTTCCTTTGCAGCACCAAGCCTGTGATGAATTGCTTTAATTTCTGACACCTCGTATGAAAACTGCATGTGCAGTCTGATTACATTGCAAGACTGAGGCTTGGGGGCTCTGCCTTTAAGCGGAAGGGCTGGGAATGAAAAATTACCAAAAGTAAAAACTTCTCTTGTTTGACTTTCAGAGAGCATGGTGAGTCGGCGGCAGACCTTGACGGTAAATCAGCTGCGTCCAGAGTCAACAGTGGGCAGGAGGGTTTGCTGGTAAGCTGGGCATCCGTGTATCTGAATTGCTTTGCAATAAAGCGGAAGTGCAATCTTCGTTTTCAAATGTCGTTATTTCATGTACTGCACGTGGCCTAGTTGGTCCTCAGGTCTGCACAGGGCCAAGTCATGAATGTAAGGCCTGTTTAGAGCTCTGCTCTAGGGTGAGCGTTTAGCCTGTTGTGGGGGACTGTTCTGGTGAGGGCATTTGCACATGTGGAAGTCAGAATAACCCACAGGAGTCCGTGCTTCCACGCGGTGAATTCTGGGCATAGTGAGTCAGACTTTGTGAATGCCTTTATCCCCGCTAATCCATCCTGCTGGCCCTGGACGGTGATAACCCACAGATGACACAGACTCCAGAAAACATCTTTATTAATAAAGACTTCGGGGGTGGATTTTCACTCGAGTTTGTGGCTTGGTGACACAACGTGGGAAGGGCCAGCCTGCTGAACGGTGACTGGGTTCTAGTGCCCTGTGGTTTCCTGCCTACGTGCTAGTTTCCTCTCTTAGAGCTCCATAGTGGGCAGGAAGCAGGCTGCTGTAGCCTTGGGGCTAACATAAAGAATGATGGGTGGAGCCGGCCTGCCTGGACAGTATGCAGTAAGCATGGCTTTTCTTGGAAGCTCAGCACAATACATGATGCTGTCCTCTCCGCCACAAATGCCCAGAAGAGGGCAGCAGAGTGCCGTGGCATGGTTTGTGTGCTAAAAGACCATTTCTGTGATGGCCACTGGGGCAAAAGGGGGGTGAGCATCAGCCTCAAGAGTCCTGAAAATGGGTACACTAGGGGCATCCATTGGGTCAGGTCAAGACTCCATACAACTTAACAAGGCAAGGGTTGCTTCCTCAGCCAGGTTCAGAGTCGACAGCAGGAGACCCCTCGGCCCTCCCTCTTGACGTAGTCATGCAGCCTGAAGTGCGGCTCGCTGGGAGGCTGCGTGGATCGCTGTTTCAGCTCCCTGAAGAGCAGGGGTGACAACAGAGCACAATGCAGCCTGTGCAGCCTCTTCCGGGCTCGTGCCCTGGAACATGAGGGTGGTGTTTCTGTTCGCTGCCAGGACTTACTTTGCTATGGCCGTGAAAGCCAAGTCGACGTTGAGGCCGGTCTTGGCGCTGGTTTCCATGAAAGGCAGCCCATACTCCTGCAAACAGCTGCTACCAGCTAGGTGCTGGCCGAGGGGGGGCAGCCCAAGAGTGACAGCCTTAGGGACACCCTCGTCACCCACCCTGTTTGGACTCACCTTGGCCAATTTCTCCCCATCTTCCCTCTTTACCACGCGTTCTTGGGCAGAATCAACCTGGCCCAGGCACAGAAGTTTTGTTAATGCTTACCCAGCTTGCCCTGTTGGGCCAGGCTGGAGAGGACAGGCTCACACTCCCACCTTGTTTCCCAGCAGCATGAGCACCACGTCCTGCTGGGCATATTCCTGGATCTCTGTCAGCCAGGCCTGTGTGGGGAAAGCTGGGGCCAGTCTCACGGCTGGTCTTTGCCCTCTTGTGCCACATCTTTTTGGGTGCGTTTTCCTAGAAGCCCTCCCATGTGTGGACTAGAGGTACCCACCTACCTCACTGGTACCTTATCCAGGTAACCCTGGTAATGGAGCCAAGTGTCACCCAGGCCTGTTGGGTTAGTGACTAACCAACCTGGCCACCATGAGCTCACAGGGGTTCTTTAGTTTGTATCCTTCCTATTAGCAGGGGTTTTTAGAACTGTAGGGACCTTGATGGCATCTAGACAACCTGGGCCCATTCCCTCGCCAGGAAGGCCACTGACCTGGATGTTGTCGAAGGAGTCTCTGTTGGTGATGTCATAGAGCAGCAACAGTGCTGGGTACAGAAAGTAATGAGGACATCCCTGGGCCCAGTGGCTCCTTCATTACCCACTTTTACACATTCCAAGTCACAGGATGTTACATCACCCTCTCCTGCTGTCCCACGCGTACCTCCCAACCCCTGCCCCCATGCAGCAGGTCACCCAGACTCCCTGTGGAGGAGAGCTGGTCCCCATATCTGCTGGCTTACCATGAGCGTCGCGGTAGTAGGCATGGGTGACGCTTCGGAACCGCTCCTGACCAGCTGTGTCCCAGATCTGTGGCAACAGGCACTGGTCACACTGCCCGGTGTCTCCCCGGTGTCTCCCGCCCCAAACCTGCGTCCCTGTAATCTCACCTGCAGCTTCACCTTCATGCCATCCACGTCCAGGACTTTGTTCTGAAACAGAACCAGCCAGCAACAGTGAGGATGCCTGCTAACCTCTGCCCTGGGGGCTCCTGAGGTGGAAGTAGGAGAGGGAGTCATGCAAGCCATGACTGAACCCCCACTGAGGGGAGGTTGGGGGACCCCTATCCCATTTCTACAGCACCTGGTTCTCTTTCTGCTCTGAGAACTTAGACCAGACTACAGGTCACATTTGTGCTTAAAATCAGATGCTCCTGGCAGCTGGCCGGTACTCCCCACCACTGCCTCCAGCATCAACCCCCAAGGAGGGGATCCTCTCAGGTGACCCTGCCTGGGCCCTTCCTCAGGTGGCTGCCCTGATATTAGGTTACCATGGCCAGCTATGCCCACTTTGGGCCCTTGCTTACCACCACTGCCAAGCACCAGGTTCCACACAGGTTCCAACTTGCCAAGAGTGTACTGGTTAGTGCATTACTAGTGCACTGTACCTGCTTGAAGACTTCAACTGGCTTAAGTCAGTGATGGTATAAACGGTACACTGTGCCTCAGTTTCCCCACCTGTAGATAGGGCACCTTTAACTTAATAAGCTACTGTCTACACTAAGAACTACATCCTGCCTAGGAAAGCTAATTTCACTGCCCCCCAACCCCCACTTCAACCACTGGGATACCTATTTCTAAGGTGCTGGACTTAAGCCTGCCTGACTCGGTACTGTGCCCACAGATCACAGAACTATGGCTGGTATATAGGCAATATTCATAAACCTGCTGTCTGCAGGTCTAGACTGGTCCTTTTCAAGATTAGACACCCGGCTGGAGTGCCCACCCACCTGTCACCCCAGAGAAGGGTTGACTACAGGCTGGGGCCATGGGGGGCTAGGCCTGGCTCCCCCTTTCTCCAGAGCTCCTGCTCAGAGTGCTTCTAGGTCTCCAGGGAACCAGGCCCAGCCATCTGCCTGGCGAGGGAGGATACTTTGCCTTTCCTGCACCCTGAACAGGGGTGCAAACCACACAGCTCTACCTCCCTCACCTTCCACCCAGGAGTCAAGACAATGAGGGTGGGGGGAGACCAGGATAGGCAAGAAACAGCTGCTCAAGCTTGTCCTGCTCTCTCTGGCACTTCAACCTTTACATCATCCTGGACTCCAGGACCTGGAGGGCTTGAGGAGACCTGCAATCCTCAATAAAGAACAGTTCCCACTACAAGGACCCCCCTTTCCTGTCCCCAGAATGGGCCTTCCTCCCAACCTCCTGCTAACTGGGTCTAATTAAAGGGTGAGAAAAATGCAAATTCAGGATTTGCCAAGAACACCCCAGCACCTCAGCACATGAGATTCAGACTGGGCAGGGGGGTTGGGAAGGCTTTGATGCTGGAGCTCTCAGGACCCTGCCTGGGATCCTAAGGAGGTCTCTCCCAAGCGACACTGCCTTGTAGGAACTAGAGAGTTCCCAGTCCCTCCCATGGCCTTGGGTGCCCTCTTTGGGGGAGAGCAACATCGGCTTCCTGAGTGAACAGGCCTTGAGTTCCCCCCTCATTGTCACTAGCCTAGGGCACAGGTATAGATAGCTCAGTGTAGCATCAGCCCGTGCAGAACTCTCTGCTGCAGCTGAATGCAGCTACTCCCTTGGGTATTAGCTTCCCCAGGACCCTCAGGTGTTGGGAGGCAGCTGGTTTGGTAGCTAAGCTCTCATTCCTGGGCCTATGGACACATCAGGAGATGGAGAATCAGCTGCCCAGGGTACTGGGAGGACTATGTATAAGAACCATAGTACAGCTGGACCCAGTCGGAGCTCAGGATATCAGCCTCCATTCTCACCCGGAAGTCGATGCCCACAGTGGAGATGAAGGTACCAGCCAAGAAAGCTCCATCCTTGAAGCGCACCAGCAGGCAGGTCTTCCCCACACCGGAATCCCCCACCAGCATGACCTAGAGCAGACAGGGGTCAGAGGAGTCAGGCTTGGAGATGAGGGCCTTGCCCACCTAAAGATGCTTGTGGTCTGCCTCGAGCCGTGGGGGAGGGGTGAGTGTTCCAGGCCTGTAGGTTCAGCATAGCTTGGGGAAACACAAAAGCCATGGTCCCCAATAGTGTAGATGCTCAGCTTTTCGGCCCCTGGTTGTCCCATGTCACCTCTCCCTCCAACAATGCCACCTCAATCAAGATCTTACCTACCCGTCCTCCATAGACAGCATGCTTGATCTTGGAGGGCAGCATTTGGGGCCTATGGGGAGCAGAGCATGGGAGTGCATGGAACCCCCTAAAGAGACTTGTGGGGACTCAGTGCCAGGGGCTTCTTCAGTTCCAGCCAAGACACAAATCAGCAGCAAGGCTCGGTAAAGGTGTGCCCGACAGGCTGCTTTTGAAGTGAAGAGGGGCTAGCTAGGGACAATCTGTGGGCCTGAGAGAGGCAGACTGGAGAAGTCTCTCCCTCCCCACACCAGCCCTGCTGCCAAAAGCTCCAAAACCCAACGATGGCCCTGACATCAGAGGTCAGATTTACACAAGCTTCAGTTTTGGTCTGGGGGTGGCCTCTTTCTCCTCCCTCCCAGAAAAAGGAGACTTACAGCCCCTGGAGGCGAGGGAAGGCAGCATATGGATGGGAATTGATGAGTGGAGTACCGGTAGGGCCCGAGGGTCGGGGAGACACAGCTTCAGGACTTCATCTTTCAGAACCCCTTGCTTGGTCTTACAGTAGGTGGAGTGGGGGCAGGCCCTGCCAGCTGTTGAATACCCCAGACCCGAGCCTAAGAGTTGTGTGTGTGTGTGTGTGTGTGTGTGTGTGTGTGTGTGTGTGTGTGTGTGTGTGTACACGCCGGCGTGCACGCGCGCGCAACAATCTAAGGTGCTGCCTGGCTAGCTCTGGCCATTTCAGCAGCAATGGGCCGCACGGCCCCTGCACTCTTCCCCGAGGCCCTCCCGGTAGTCTAGTATCCAACGACACCTGCTGCACTCCCATGGCGGGGAGGTGCCTAGCTCACCTTGAAAGCAACGTCGTAGAAGTCTCCAGTGCCACCAAGTGAGGGCCGGCCGGACTGTGGGGGCCCGTTGGGTAGCGCCTCCGGGCCAGGACGCGCAGTCCTGGGACCTGCCAGACGGGGCCGATTGGCGGCGGTGGGCAGCGTCGAGGCAGCAGGCACACTCCCCGCCTTGCTCTTTGGGGTCTTCTTCCTGGACATGGTTCTCAGTGTGCTCCTGCTGCTGCCACCGCGCCCTGGGCCGTCCCACGCCCCGTGCCCGCCAAGCCAGACTCGGACCCGAACCCGTCCCGCAGCAGCAGCAGCAGAAGCAGCAGCAGTGGCAGCATCTCCAACACTCGGCGCCTGCCCCGCCCCCGCCTCCCCGGCGGCGCAGCCACTCAGGCCCGGCCTCCCGCCGCCGCAGCCAATGGCAGCTCTGAGGCGGAGCCATGCAAATAACCCGCCGCTCCGGGGGCGGAGTCAGGAGGTCCCAGCAAGGCTCTAGGTGCTCACCCGAGGAGCATGCTCTGGTGCTCTGTGCCTTAGGCCCCCAGCTGTCTACGTCTAGTGTGAAGCACCAGGATCCTTTATCCCCTCGGCGCACTGTTCCTTACCCCAGTCTTCAATGTCCCAGCTCAGTAACCTAGCTCAAAAGACTGGGCCCCAGACCGGAGACGTGTGTGTTCTGAGGTGAGAGTGCTGGGCAGAAGGCTTGCATGAGTAGACAGCCTGAGATTCTGTTTCTTCTCAGCAAGAGATGACAGCCACCTGACCCACTTGTTCTCAGTGCTGCACCCTCCAGGGCAGGCACATCCAGGAAGCTCCTATACTCAGGCTTCAAGCACTGCTGTGCTGAGCACTCGGCTCAGCTGATCAAAGGCATGGCTGGTACGCTGCCCTTCCTCACAGACTTTGCCACCTGAGCTGAAGCATGGGTATCTAAGGGGGGAAAGGAAGTGGGTATCACAGCCAGCATCAGGCCCTCTGAGATAACCCTTGCAATACCCCTGCCCTGAGAGCCTAGGAGATAGGAGGTTCCTTCCCCAGGAGTGACTGGTCCAAGTGATCAGTGTTGATTCTCAAGCCCCCCAAACTGGTCCAGGACCTGCCATACCCACCCCAGGGTCTGATCCTGGTGCCTCACCTACGCTGACCTGAGGAGTTCTCTCTGAAGGCACTCACCCAAGATGCTGCAGTCTGGAGAATGAGACTTCAGTGACCAGAGATGCGGACAGTGGGTGCAGGAGGGTGGCACCCTTGAGACAGGCTATTTCCTGGTGTTCCTCTGGAATGGTCTAGCTGTCCTCCAAGAGGATTGCTGTCACCAAAACTCTGGTCTCTTGGAGGCCTCCTGAGCCTTCTCTGCTGGCAGTGGCCAGAGCTGAATAATTCACTACCTCTGGGGCTCAAGGCCTAGAAGGACCCAGATGGAGACATACTGTCTAGAGAATTTCCTAGACAGGACCTTGCTATGGCCTGCCCAGCAGAGGCCTTGGAAAGCTTCCCTACACTGACTGCTGTCATGTGTTAGGTGTACTAGTCTGTGTGGTGGGTATTGCTACAGTCCCCAATGGTCAGATGGGAAAACTGAGGCCCAGAAAGGCAACAAAAGGAGATGCTGTCCATGATCATCAGGCCAGCACATGGCAGAGATAAGGCTGCTCTGGGAAACTCTGGCTTCATGTCCTATGGCTCAGCTTCACCCTTCAGAGACCTATTATTGTGGAGCAAACCCAGGGAAGCCCCAGGTCTCCTTTCCTTGTCTCCCTTTACTGGCTTCCTACCTCTTTCAGGCAAGTCTCAAGATCTGTAAGTCCTGACCTAGAGTGGGGGTACTACTGTTGTGTTCCCTGAGGATGCCAGATACCCCATTCTCGCAAAGCCAACCTCAGCTGGGAACCTCAACAGCCTGTGCCTACTTGCTCTAGGAAGTAGATCATGCAACCTTCTTCCAGCTGCTGCCCAGAATATGTCCAGTACGTGGGATAAGAACAAAGAGTTCGAGTTTGGATGCTCTGGGGCAGGGGCTGCAAGTGGGGAATTCTGGATGTGAGTAGTGAATATAGGGCAGGGAACTAGGAAGAGAGAAGGAACAGGCAAGCTAGGAAGGTCAGAGGGCAGCAGAGGAGGGAGCTGCCAGCCGCAGAGGAGACAGACTTGCCTTTAAAATGAGGAGCGTCACGCCCCACAGTTCTGCTCATCTTTGATCACTGTATCTCATGGCTCTTCTGGTTCCATCTGTTTCTCACCCTGGAATGTAAGCTTTCTGGGCACAGGAAGCAGCTTGTCTTGGTCACTGCCATATCCCTGGCAGCCAGCTCCTGGCCTCAATAAGCAGTTACTAAATTGGTGAAAGAAATGTAAGCTAGAAACTAGGCATGGAGGTGCAAGCCTAGTACTTATGAGGTAGAAGTAGGCAGTTCTCTGTGAGATAAAGGTGAGCCTGATCTACATAGCAAATTCCAGGCCTGGCAGGGCTACACAGGGAAAACCTGTTGGGGGATATTTGTTTAACTAGACAAAGATGTGTTACATTTGTTTATGTTGCGGAATATTGCTTTTACAATGTAAAGGTGTGTTACATTTGTTTACACTGTATTTGTATAATGGTATAAAGATGTGTTGCTTTGCCTGCCTAAGGCACCTGATTGGTCTTATAAAAAGCTGAACGGCCAATAGCTAGGCAGTAGAGGGATAGGTGGGGCTGGTAGCGGAGAGACTAAATAGAAGGAAGCTAGACTCAAGAGAAGAGAACAGAGAAAGAGAGGGAGACACCTGGGGCCAGCCAGGCAGCTGCCAGATGGACAGACAGACAGACATGGAAAAAGCAGGAAAAGTAGGTCACACAGAATGAAAGAAAGGTAAAAATCCCCAGGGCAAAATGTAGATGAAGAGAAACAGGTTAAAATAAGTTATAAGAGCTAGTGGGACAAGCCTAAGATAAGGCCAAGCTTTCATAATTAATATTAAGTCTCCATTAATATTAAGTCTTTCTTGGACTGGCGGTCCAAGAAAGCCTGATGCAAAACCCTGTTTCAAAGTTAATTAATTAAATAATTAAAATAAAAATAAAGAGTTGGGTGTGAGGGGCATTCCTTTAATCTCAGCACTTGGGAGGCAGAGGCAGGTGGATCAAGGCCAACCTAACCTACATAGTGAGTTCCAGGACAGCCAAGGCTATATTTATTTGAGACCCTGTCTCAAAATAAAACAACAACAACAAAAGAAGATGGATAATTCTTTGGTATTTCTCCCAGTGAGTGGGTCTATGTCTCCTGCCCTTGAATCTGAGCAAGAACAATGATACAACAGACGTGACCCCATGTTTCTTGTACCCTAAGACAGTGGTTTCCAGAAGCTGGCTGCCATGATTAGAAAATGCCCAAGCAGCCAGTGGAGAAAAACTGAATAAGCCAGATCTCTGATAGACAGACACACAACCTCAGTGGATGATGCCATGCAAGGTTTTGCTATGTAGCCCAGACTGGCCTCAAACTCACAATCTTCCTGCCTTAACCTTCCGAGTGCTGGGATTATAGCAGGCCACTATGCTCTTCTAGAGACGAGGCTTTTTTTTTTTTTATTTTTTATTTTTTTCCCGAGACAGGGTTTCTCCGTGTAGCTTTGCGCCTTTTCCTGGAACTCACTTGGTAGTCCAGGCTGGCCTCGAATTCACAGAGATCCGCCTGCTTCTGCCTCCCGAGTGCTGGGATTAAAGGTGTGCGCCACCACCGCCCGGCAAGACGAGGCTTTTTAAACCATAATTTCCTATGTATTTGGGAGATGTTTGTTACATAGCAATAAATAACTAATGACAGCTCAGAGCAAGCTTGGGGGAGGGGGCCGGTTTGGTGAGAAAGGGTCAGGGGGGTGTGAGAGCCTCAGTCTGGCCTGGAGTCCCCCAGTTTCCTAGAGGAGCAGTGCTGGCAGTGACCAGCCCCCATGGCAGGGAGTTAGGACTGGCTATATGTGCCCCCCCCCCCCGGGAGTGTGGTCCAGTCCTCAGCCTTGGAATGCAAAGATGGCTCCGTGCTTTAAAAAATAAATAAATAGATAAATAAATAAAGAAATAAAATAAAGAAATGGAGCCACCCAGGTCTCCTTGAATCTTGCCTTTGAATCCTCTTACAGCCCAGACTTCTGGTTTTCTCATGCCCCTTAGCTCCTGAAACCTTTTTCAGTTTAACAGTTTTATGTTTTTTTTTTTTTTTTTTTGGTGGGATAGGGCTTCTCTGTGTAACAGGCCTGGCTGTCCTGGAACTAGCTCTGTAGACCTGGCTAGCCTCGAACTCAGAGATCCACCTACCTCTGCCTCCCAAGTGCTGGGATTAAAGGTGTGTGTGCCACTTAGCCTGGCTTCCTGTAACATTCTAACTGGTCTTTCTGGGAGTCTAAGCCCGTAGCTCTGGTGCAGCATGTGCCATGAGTCCCCAGCTCACCCTCTCTCAGGGTCTCCATTTTCCCTAGGCTTCTAGCTTTACCCCCACACCAGAATCTAGACTGTGCCGGGGTACAGTGCAGGCAGGAATAAGAGCCATCTCCTTGACCTTACAGGTTCTGCTTGGAGCCCTGCTTCCCAGGTTCCTCCTGCCCCTACTTCCTGCGCCCTGGATGCCCTCCAGTGGTTCTCTAGAAGCTAGCTCTGTGACCTCTGTATCCATCTGAAAACTTCCTGAGGACAGATTCTATGCTGTCTGCTCCTGTCCTCACTGGCACTGAAGGGAATGGCCTGTGATAAAGCAGCAGAAAACTAGACTGGACTTCAGGGGTCCTCTAGCAGGGGTCCTTTGGCAGAGCTCCCAAAGTGTTCTCAGAGCCCTTCATGAGGAGTCAGACCCACAGAACTCAGCTGTCTAAAAGCCATAGGGCACAGGTCCCTTTCTTGCTGTGTGACCCTGGGTACTTGGCATCCCTATCTGGACCTACTTCCTGTTCTGTGAAATGTGGAGGAGGAGTTGATCTCCAAGGGCCCTTCCTGCTCAAACACCTTATGTTCTATGAAATCCTTGTGAAAGTTGCCATGGAAACGTCAGAAGAACTGCAACAGCCCTGAATTATATGAGAGAGAGAGAGAGAGAGAGAGAGAGAGAGAGAGAGAGAGAGAGAGAGAGAGAGAACACTGAGTCACCCTAGAAAGCAGGTGATGTCAGAGGAATGTTGGCTCTGGCACCCAAATGTAAAGGGGCCACATATATTCTGCTCCTGAAAAGACACCCCAGTAGCCTACTCATTCTGGCGGTCCTAATAGCCTGGGTTCTGGTAGTAAGAGGCGAGTGGCCATCTGCCTGAAGAACCATCTGTGTGGGGTCCAAGCAGAGAGTAGCCCCTTTGCAGGTTAAGACCACAGTGGCTTATTCGGCAGAGATGCTTCTCTACAAATGAAGGTGAGCTTTTGCACAAGTCCCATTCACAGGACTGGGGTGTGGCTGGTGCAGAGCTCTCACTTGGCACGCAAGAGGCCCTGGATTTCATCCCTAGCACTGAACATAAAAGTCACCTTCCCTATTTTCTTGGGGGT